CATTCCTGCAAGGTATGCGAAGAAACAGAACAGTAATTTGGAAGTTATGTACTGGTCATTAGGCATCATCAGTAAAAGCATTATCTTGAGCAAAGTGAGTCTATATGTAGAGCCTTGCTTTGCCAAGATCAATGGACAAAAATACTTCTCTACACAGTCTTCAGAAAGAAGCTTCTTTTAATACAATGAAAGATAAGCACCATCTTTTTCTAGTTTCTCACTCCAGAAAACAAGGCATGCTTTTTTATTTTTGGCATGAAGCAAACTATTCTTTCACACAGACTCCAGAAGACAGAAATCCACAGGCCAGGTTTAACTGTGATGCCAAAGTCTTAAGTCAAAATTTTAAGATACAGTTACGATGAATTCTAGAGACCCCATCAGGTTTTCTGGTTTCCTTCTAGTCCACATGCATGGTTTAAATAAAAATATTGTCAAATTCTAAACAAGAGGCTAAGAGAAGGAAGTCCCTTCCTCACTTTTCAGTTTCCTTGGCATTTATCCCAGCAACTACATCAATGCTTAGCTTTCTTCAAACACAGCAGAGCTGTGGCATTTCAGTGATGCACGCAGCCATGTGGTTGGCAACATGCCAGCTTTTGTATGTTTGTTTTAGACTGGTTGTCTTAAAGGCTGTACAAAAATCTTGCCAGAAAACACACAAGTGGGAATAGGCAAAAATAATGCATTTTCCTCATATACAGGTGTCCATTCTTTTCTTCATATGCACTTGGGCATACTGCTGTGTGGCAAGGAAGCCAGAGACTACTGAAAATGCATAATCATTGCCATATTCAATTGCAATGACTGAACTCATGAGCATTTAAAGGGTCCAATCACACTTTTCTTGAAGTCAGAAGATTTCCATAAGCTTCATAGAGTTTAGTCAAGCTGAACTGACATCAAACCAGAGCAGAATGTTACACAAATGAAAGATGCGTTTTACATCAAGTGTGAAATCAAGCAACAGGAGAAACAGCTGCAACATTTTACTTGTGAGTAAAAAAAACGCAGTTTGTCAGGGTTTTTTACTCACAGGAGCTTTGCTCCAGGAGCTCCTACAAAGTAACACAATCAAATGTAAAAAACACCCCCAAGCCCAAAACCTCACCAAACACCACCCCTCACAAAAAAAGCCCTCAAAAAACTATTTCTCCAGACAATCAGCAAGTATGGAATGTAAGTATTTATCTCTTCTCTCAAATAATAAACATTCTCTTCTGTAGGAACTAGGGATTTTTCTTGTTTGGTTGGTTTTAATTACTTTTGTTTTTAAATCACTGGACTAGATAATTAAACCCAAGTTCTGAAATTATGCTCTTAGTGCTGACATTTTATTACCAGTAGACCATCACAACTCATCATAAACTTTGAGTGGTGAAAGGTTGTGGCCTTTTTGATACCTTCTTTAAAAATAATGGGAAAAGCAAAGAGTAAGAAATAACTGAACCATGTAAAAAAGTGATCTTATTTCCCATCCCATGAATTCGCAACTGGGAACTATTACCTGTTACTTGCTTGTCTGGAAGAGAAGGGATTGGAATGGCTAATCCAAATTTAACCAGGAGACGCTCATACAACCAGTCAAAGTGCTTGTATCTGTGGTTGACAGACCGATTAGTGTTCTGCAAGAGAAATGTAACTCTGAACTTGTGACAGGCATTTACAGACAGTGACATGAAAACAAGTGTGACCAGAATAGTAAATACATGGAATGTAAATAAGATTTATGATTTAGAGCCTTGAATCTGTAATTACAGAAGAACTTGAAATGACAGAACAAAGTAACTCTTCGGAAGAAAAAAAAAATGGTGACTACTATGACTTACTATTATAACACTGTGACCAAGTCACACTAACTGTATTACTTATACGTACAAATGACCCATATTTGCAAGACAGATGATCCTGTTTCAGACATACTTACAGTGCAGGTCAGCTGATATTCAATGTAGCTCTTGAGACCATACATTTTAGAACCTTTTTTGGGATCTGCCACCACACAATCAAATGTAGAGGTAGGATAAACCCACATTGGGCCATAATCACCAATCTGTAAGAAATTGCAAGTATTTTTAAATGTGTCATGTTGTAACATCTGCAAACAAGGAGACAAATATTTTCTCTCTAATCAGTGAAAACTCTCAAGTGAAAATTGAGAGATCAATAGCCAGAAAATTGAGGGGTTTCTTGCAGCCAGAGATGATTGACCACAATTGTGTTTATCTTCTGTATTTCACATTTCTTCCCAAACAGCAAAGGAGCGGTGAATTCTAAGGTTTGCTATTTGCACTACATTTCAGTAGAACAGCATATATCCAGAAAAGGGTTTTATAGGTAAGTTGACCTGACCATCATGACTGAATACTGCAAACCTTTATGAATATAGCTGCTGTTTATTAAATAGCTATCTAGATAATCAAAAGACAACATAATGCACTCGCTTTTCCTCTGAAAAAGGCTTATTTTCGTGATCACAAGTAATACAGATCCAGCATGAGGAAATAAAAAGTACTGAAAATGGTAATTAAATCATCACACTTAGAAGACAGAAGGATTTAAGACTTGACACTGAAAAATTCCTCAATGATAAAATGTAGTCTACCACAACTTCAAAATACTTAAATGGTATGCAATGTTTTTTTTTTAACTACAGTTCTATTTCTAATTATATGTTCAGTATCAGTCTCTTCTGACCCAAATACATACAGCAACCCTGAGGCTGAAAGTTAAATTGGGGAAAAAGGAAAGGGTGGGGACGACTAAAAAAAGCCCCTGAAACCCCCAAACATAACAATCCATAAAAAGCCCAAACCAAAAACCCCCAAACCTAAAGCAAAACACACCACCCACACACAAAAACTACACACACAACCCCAACTTACAATTATGGGAATTTTCTCTTTGGGTTTTGCTAGCTGCTTTGCCAACAGATACTGTTCCATCCCAGGTTTTGCAAATCCAGGAAATCTAACAATAAAACAAACGAATACATTTATTCTGTATTTTTCTTCATTTGATGTATGCAGAATTACCTGCCATTGTAGGAAAACACCCCTTAGTATTTCTCAAGTATAGAAAAGAATTGATATGGATTACTTTAACAACCAACAATTTGCCCTGAAAAAGGAGAAGAGTTTAGGGGCTGACATCCAGCTTTTATTTGTGTAATACAGGCTCCTTCTTCAAGGCAAAGTAGTTATCTTTGCCCTGCAGCCCATCAGAACAAATGTAACAGAAGGACAGAAAGCACCCTCTGCCATTCCTCTGCAGTCCACCCACTGTGCAAATGCACACACAAAGACCCTCATGCATGCCACCCTGCCATTTCAGCTTATGAGGATTCAGTCACTGAAAGAATGAAAAACTGCAGATTTCTCAAGTGCTTTGGGCAACATAGTTTAGTGTGAGGTGTCCCTGCTCCTGGCAGGTGGGTTGGAACTAGAGGATCTTAAGGTCCATTCCAACCCAAACCATTCTATGATCCTATGAGTTATGTTAAATAATTTATCCACCAATTATAGAAAAAAACTAATGTCCTTAAAGTCTGCATGAAACATTATATAAAAAGCAAGCGGCGGTCCTCCTAATTAGAAAGACACTTAGCCATTAAAGTACTGCCAAGCTATTATCTGCTTGCACAAAGATGAGGAGTAGAGTAGGACTTACTTCACGGACAGAAAATGCTCTTAAATAAGGTATGTTTACACTGGTTATACTAAATGGTTTTGCACTATGTCGATGTACTGTTGCAGAACTGAACAAAACATCTACTGACGAACAAAATAATGACTAGCCATACAGAGCCAGTTCATTTTAGTTACATACCCAAGGAGACCATTATGCTACAATACTTTTCCACTCTGCTTTCATCCACTTAAGGATTATGAAACAGCAGCTTCTCAGAATAATAGTAGTTTTAGAGTAAACAAACATTAAGTTGTAACATGAGATAATGCTAGTATAACCCTGACAATGCTTCATGCTACTGGAAGATTCTTATTTCTAAACCAAGCTTTCTGTGGCTCAAGAATCATCCTGGGTAATGCACAAACACAGAAGAGCAGAATTCCTACCTATTCCGAGCAACTCAAAAGTGCTCATGAGCTCTGGGGCAGCAGCTCTGATCAGTCTCTCTGTACGGATAAGCCATCGATCACCTTTCATTTTCACTAAGCACGCACATAGTGTTAAAGACAGTTAAATTTTAAAGACCAGTAGGTCCAGAAGTTCAGATTTTGTAAAAGTGTTATTTGCCTGTACAACACCTCCTAAAATTATACAGCTTTGTCATGTACTTTCAGGCTTTCATGGATCTGTGGTGTCTGATCACACAGGGAGAATGCCAAACTACAAATTCATCTCCTCTTCTACCCCAAAACTGTGGTATTTACATAGAAGGTTGAATGGCCACACATTTAAACATCTTGAAAAATTCCAATTCTCTTCAACATATACACATTTGCCCTCCAGTTTCCATTACTTGTTAAGTGGTAACTTCATAGCGGCTGCACGAGAATTTCCACGCTGGACTCCCCCAGCCTCTGATGCGTCAGTCTCCTTGTAACCAAGATAAGATGGTGAAGTTGATTTTGGGTCATCCCAGTCATCATCCCACTCATCGTCATCAGCAGCTGCTGAAGTGCAGGGGAGGGCAGGGGGGGAGGGACAGGAGAAAGTTAAATATTTTATCTTCAAAAGCAGAAGCAGCACTCATACGCAAATAACTGACAAGGTAAATATATTAAGAACTAGTTCAGCCTTCTGTTTTATGGTTCCTTCACAATTAGAACCAACCTTCCACCAATACAACCTGCGAAACACTATACTAGAAATCCACTGAGGGAGAGAGAGAGTTAAAAAATAAAATAAAATAAAAAGACAGAAGAGATGCTGGTGTGTTAAGATGAATTCATGAGATGAATTCCATATTCACTGACTCCAGGCTAGCATTCCTCAGTTGTACGTTCTCCTCATAATTTAGGCTTTTACTACAAAAATGTAGAGAAGCCTTCTGAAAGGCTAGCCACTTCCTAAAATTAAGGATTTAAGAAGCTACTTCTTCAAAAGCCTGAGGGCACAAATTCAAAAGTGTTTAAAAGCTCCAGTTATGCAAGCTGAACAACATGCCTCAAAATAGATCACGTATGCACAAGACTTTGGCTTGCCATGTTTCCATACAAGTTTGAGGTGTCTGTTACTGTGGGTCTGATTTTATTTTATTTAAAAAGCCTACTATTTTAGTGTTCAGTTTACCCACGTGGCAATGTTCTACTAGGAAACTGGTTTTGTTTTTAAAATAAGCCATTTTTCTATTGTTAGGAAAGATTAAGCAATTCTTACCTCTACTGTCCACCTACTCTAATTTATTCAAAAATAAGAGCATTATTAGTGCACCTGGTCCTTGATATGCCTGTGGATGACCAAATGCTGCTGCCGCCTCCCAGTTATTTGAAGCACTGTTTCTCTGGCTAGCTGCACTTTCAGGTTTTGTTGCCCAGCTGTCAACAGCATTTCCGTTATCCCAGTTCCCAGACTTCCCAACATTCCAGCTGGACCAAGGATCATTGTCATTGTTTGCCTACATTGTATAAAGACAAAAGTAAAGAAGAAACTGCTGAAGAAATGAGCAAAGACCACATACTTCCTGATAGAATATGAGTTTGCATTCAGCACTTGTTCGATTTAGGAGTACCTGCCAAATCTTACATTCCCAGCCATACAACTCTTAAATACAGTAAACACCTGGATGAAATTATCAGCTTGCCAGAAATGTGACATCAATGCATACTAATAAGTGTGTTACATCTCCACAGGGAAATTAAACTATTTCTTCCAACAGTGCTAGGAAAAGCTCTTACTCATGGTAATTATTTTACACCAACACCATAAGTATGGTGCATGTGAACTATTAATTACATAAAGCCATGGACTAATCAGCACATTTAAAAAAAACCCTCAAAAATCAAGGATTACATTTTTCCAAATGCTTATTTTATCAAACTCAGATTAGTGGCTTTATTAAAAGCAAATCATAAATTGCCCACCCACACCATCACTCTTGTTGTGACAGTTAGGGCCAGCAACCTGCTCAGCTTCCCTGTCAGAGCTTAACTCACTCTCAGTGAAGACAAGGGAAGGAAAAAAACATCTGCCAAGGAACAGTGTGGCATCTCCCTGTAGGCCTAGTCTCTCAGCACAAGCTACTGGTGAAGGTAATCACACATACCCTTCTGCTGATGCTGTTGTGGAGGTGGAAACCTCAGTGCAAGAGTGCAGACCAGACATACTGCTCTACAATTTGTCTAACTACTGCACCAATTTGTCAAGTTCATCTGTCAGTAAGTTGGATTAGTAGCTTAGCATGCTGCTCAGATCCTTGATTTTAACACTACACTTTGAAAAAGCATTGACTACTTAAGTGCGGTCTGCTCCAGACTTAGTGCAGAGACTAGCTTGCAGAAAGAAAAACAGCATGCAAATCAATACCCACACACTCAAAGCATAGGAGGACGAGGAGGAGAAGGGAAAGGAAAGCAAAACAAAGCCCACAAAGCTTGTCGTGGTCAGTAGAAGAAAAAACTGAGTTTCTTTTAAAAGAAAGTCTCAAAACCTACAGAAGCCAGTGCATAGTTTTAAATCATGAAACATCATATAAGAGAAAAAAAAAAAAAAAAGGAGATACCGAATACAAATTAATTTCTACTAAAATAGAACATTCACATGAATCTTGGAACATATGCCAGTACAGAAAATTTACTAAAATTCTCACTAAAAGACAAATTATTCTCTGAAAAAAAAAAAAGTTCAGTATGTTTGTTTCTTACACAAAAAAGGTACAGCTACTCCACGTTCAATTCTTCTCCACTAAAAATCCTCTCCTCTCATTTCAGCTTTGAAATACTAGTTTAGACTAAGAGTTCTTGCTTTAGTTTTTCCTACAATTAAGTTATCTGTCAGATTTTACAGAGACTATCAAATCTTTAAGATTTGAAGATGCCGTTGATATCATGTAACACTTGTTCTTTAGGTCTGTAATCCCCAGGATCTGGAAATTAAGACCAAGTCCCCAAGCTGGGGGAAATCACCATTGAGAAGACTCACGAGAGTCAGTGGGTCTCTTGGAACTGATGAAGTGAGAGACATTACAAGGACAGTTTCTATACTGATAGTTTGGGAGACATTTTTAAATTATTTTTATTATTATATTTATATTTTATT